CAATTCCCTTAACAGAGAAGAATCCATTTTCCTTTTCATGGAATCATAGAATCCTGACAGTGTGGGAACAGGCCCTTCGGCCCAACAAGTCCACACCGAACCTCAGAGCATCCCACCCAGACCCATCCCCCTGTAACCCACCTAATCTACACATCCCTGGACAGTACGGAGCAATTTCCCATGGCCAATCCACCCCAACCTGCACATCCCTGGGCACTACGGGGCAATTTAGCACGGCCAATCCACCCTAACCTGCACATCCCTGGGCACTGCAGGACAATTTAGCACGGCCAATCCACCCTAACCTGTGTGTCCCTGGGCACTACAGGACAATTTAGCGCGGCCAATTCACCATAACCTGCACATCCCTGGGCACTACAGGACAATTTAGCACGGCCAATCCACCCTAACCTGCACATCCCTGGGCACTATGAGTCAATTTAGCACGGCCAATCCAACTATCCTGCACATCTTTGGACAGTGGGAGGAAACTGGAGCAACCGGAGGAAACCCACACAGACATAGGGAGAATGTACAAACTCCACACAGACAGTTGCCCGAGGGTGGGATCGAACCCGGGTCCCTGGCACCGTGAGGCAGCAACGCTGACCACTGAGCCTGAATGAAAAGACCCAAATTATCTGAAAATTGTATACCAGAAGTATCTTAACTAGAACCAAAAAAAACTACCATCCAAAGGGGGTGAAGAAACCGAGTTAGAGGAAATTAAACCAAAATATATTGGGAGGGGGAACTGATTCATGCCACTCCCACAATCCCCACCTTTCTTTGAAGTCTCTGAAGTACCACTATACGCTCCCTCTCCGATGCCCCCGCCCAGGGGCACAGACGTAGCCATAGGAAAGATAGACACAGATTTCTTTCTTTTTTTTTGGTTTTGGAAACCCAACCTCCAGTACAAAAGCAATTAACAAACAACAAATTAAAACCCAGCTCTTAAAACATAGACTCCAGTGAGCATCGCCTGCTCTCTGCCAAACCCCATAGCTGATCTGTCTATCCCTTAAAAGCATTTCTAACACTGACAGTATGGACACGATGGACTGAATGGCTTTCTGTGCACTGATACTATTTGTTTTGTTCACTCTTTCTCTCTTGTCTTTCTTTTTCTCTCTCTTGCTCTCTTTGTTTCTCTCTCTCTTTCTCACTTTCTTTCTCTCTCTCTTTTACTCTCTCTTTTTCTCCCTCTCTCTTTCTTTCTCTTGTTTTCTCTCCCTCTTTCTTTCTCTTTCTTCCTCTCTCTTTTGCTCTGTCTTTTTCTTTTTCTCTCTCTCTGCCTCTTTCTCCCTCTCCCTCTTGGTCTCTGTCCCTTTCTCTTTCTCTCGCTCCCTTTCTTTCTCTCTTTTTCCCTTTCTCTCTCTTTCTTTCTCTGTATGTCTTCTTCTCTTTGTCTCTGTACCTCTTCCTCTGTCTCTTTCTCCCTCTCCCTCTTTGTCTCTGTCCCTTTCTCTTTCTCTCTCTTTCTTTTTCTCTTTTTCTCTTTCTCTCTCTTTCTTTCTCTGTATGTCTTCTTCTCTTTCTCTCTCTGTATCGACTTTTCTGGCTCTTTCTCTCTCTCCATTTCGCTCGCTGCCTCTTTCTGTCTCTTTCCCTCTCTCTGTCTTTTTCCGCTTTCTCTTTCCTCTCTCTTTCTTTGTTTCTCTTTCGCTCTCTTTTTTCTCTCTCTCTTTCTCCCTCCATCTTTCCCTCCCCCCCCCCCCCCCTCCCCCCCCCCGCTCTCTCTCTCTCTCTCTCTCTCTCTCTCTCTGTCTCACCTGTTTCGAATTTCTCAAGCCGCTAGCCCTTCCCCGAATGTCAATGCCATCTCTCCTAAGCCTTGTCTTTTCCCTGGTCCAAGGCAGCTCTAACCAGCGGCAAGTAGAGCAGGAAGGGACCTTTAGCATCATGCCCTTCTCCCGCGCCCACCCGGCGGCAACCGTCTGCATTTGGATAGCGCCAGCCCACCCTGCCAAGACCCAAAATCGCCTTTCTGTCACGGAGCCGCAAACAGAAAGCATGGTCGACCGATGAGGGTCATGCACCCGGGCTGCTTGAAATGCCCCAGAACCCACAGTGTTCCCTCTCTGAACATCTCTTGTTAATTTCAAATCTGAGGCAGAATTAACGAAAAGGGATACAGGACAAAATCAAGCTAATCAATGCCAATAGGCCACAGATCAACACCAATCTTGCTTAACCGCCTACTCCTGCTTTTGGGGTGGGAGGGGGTATTTGCTGTGCAACAACGTCCTTCAGTGACTGTGAAAGGCGCTACGGAAATGCAAGTTTCTCTTGCCCCTCCTCCGGTTTCAAGAGTGTGTGTTACTCAGTGCTGTTTTATTGAGAGGTTCCCAGATGTGACTGCAAAGTAATTCTCATTTGTTGCTGCCCTGCCGTCCTCTGACATAAATCTCAGCCTCGTCCTTATAATTATTCGCGGCCCTGAGCGAAACTCGGCCAGAACTGATTGTCCCAGTTCCAATAGATCCTTTAATCTGACTGTTTGTTTGATTGCAGACTCCGAGTTAACGAGAGACAGACTGTTTTTAGTTTGACCCGCTGTGAATCAATGGGGCTAGAATTAAACAGAGTCGCTAGCAAGGGGTCAGGCCATTCGGCCTTTCTCCTCCATGCCAGCATCACAGTCTCCATCTCTTCCTCCCTCCCTTGTCTGTTAATTCACCTCTTTTCTACCATCCCCCCCTGCCCCCGCCTCACCCCCAAACCCTATCCAATGCATCTCTGCCCCTCGCCTCATTAAAGCCTCCCCAGGAATGAGGGCCATATTCCATGACCATCCATTAGGAAGAGGGCAGCAGACTCCTGGGAACGCCATCCCTCCGTAAGCTCCCCTCTGAGCCATTCACACCATCCCGACTTGGAAATATATCGTCCTTCCTTCAGGGTCAAAATCCTGGAACTCCCTAAGGACACTGTGTCTACCCCGGACGGAGGGACTGCAGTGGTTCAAGAAGGCAGCTGAACACCCCCAACCCTCTCGGGGGGCAATTAGGGACGGGCAACAAATGCTGGCCCAGCCAGCAACAGCCCTTGAAAGAATAAATAAAACAATTTCCCCTACTCTTCAGGGATTTTTTTCCTGAAATCTTGATTTGATTTAGCAGTGACGATAGCCTCTCTATTCCCCAACCCCCTATGTTTCTGGTCCCACCCCAGCACAACTCAGCTCAGAGTTTTGATCACCTCGCCAGCCCCTTTTAGAGCCATAGAGTTGTACAGCACGGAAACAGGCCCTTCGGTCCAACCCGTCCATGCCGACCCAGATATCCTAAATTAATCAACTCCCATTTGCCAGCTTTGGCCCATATCACTCGAACTCATTCCCATTCACGTCCCATTTAGATGACTTTTAAATGTTGTCATTGTACCAGTCTCCACCGCTTCGTCTGGCAGCTCATTCCATACACGCACCACCCTCTGTGTGAAAATGTTGACCCTCTGGCCCCTTTCCCCTCTCACCTTAAACCTATGCCCCTCTAGTTTTGGACTCCCCTACTCGGGATGAAAAAGACCTTGGCTATTCACCCTATCCATGCCCCTTATAAACCTCTATAAGGTTACCTCCTTAGCCTCTGACGCTTAATAGCCCCAGCCTATTCAGCCTCTACCTATAGCTCGAACCCTCCAACCAAGGCAACGTCCTTGTAAATCTTTTCCGCACCCTTCCAAGTTTCACAACATGCTTCCTATAGCGGGGAGACCAGAATTGAATGCAGTATTCCGAAAGTGGCCTCACCAATACAGCCGCAACATGACCCTCCCAACTCAATGCACTGACCATTAGCCTGGGCCTCCTGGATTACTGGCCCGGCAGTTTTGTAAATCTTTCCTGCACCCTTTCAAGTTGAGTGGCATCTTTCCTAGAGCAGGAATGATGTTGTTAAACTTGAAAAGGTGCCAGACTGCTGTTGAGCAAAGTATCTCTCAAGGTGAAATTTGCCTAAAGCCATCGGCTAGATAATATTCAAGCCACTCTTGAGTTTCTTTCAGCTTGTGGGGGACAGTTTGAGGGTCTGGGGGAAATGTTGAGGAAGAAGAAAGCCCAATCCCAATGGGGTCAGTTCTAGTTTAATGGTGAGTCAGTTGCAAATCCTGTACAGCATTGTTTCACAGCAGGGGTAGTTACATTTAATGTCTGTAAGATGCCGTGTTCAGTGCGCTAGGGCTGAAACTAGATCATCAATGGCCTACAGGAGTGT